CCCAAACTGCCCCTCTCTGCCCCCAAACTCGATCGGTTCTGTCCGGATCGCTGTCGGTCCCACGCAGGAGGCCGTTTCCAGCCCCCGGAGGTCTGACAGTGAGTGGCCCAGCTGTGAGGGAGGCTCGCTGCTGGCACGCTGCAGGAGGATCGGGCAGCGGTCTCTTGGAACGCTGCCTTGGAACCCTAATTAAATAGGAAAATTGAAGACCCACTTGTCCAGAAATGAGAATAAATAGAATTATGTGTATTTGAAGCCTCAGTACAGCAAAAATATTAAGACTGCTGATAACGTGTGTTTGTGAGTTGGTTCTTTTTTTTTTCTTTTTCTTTTTTCCTGCCTCTATATCCAGAATTTTACCCAAAACGTATGTGTGCAAAGAATATTGTGTCATTATCTTTATGGAAATGCTGGGAAATTCTGCCAGTTAATTAAGTTATTCTTTCTATTCTGATTTTTAAACTGTATACTTTTAAGAAGATTAATTTTTTGCCAAAACAATCCAAGAAAGCTTTTTTTTTCTTGCTAGATAAAAGTAAGTCCCCCAAAAAAAAAGTAATGACTTCTTGTTTCTGCACAAAAAAAAAAAAAAAGTAAAAATGTGTTTATCTAATCATGAGTACTAAGTGTAAAAGCTGGCTCATCTGGGAAATAGATCCTGTTATCATAAGAACTGCTCATCTGGAAAATATATTTTGCTACTGTTTTAGTGCAGAAAACAGACCTTCCACTCAGAATGATTTTTCGTGTGCCTGAGCAATAAGTAACAATATGAAATTAATTACATCATTTGTCTGGTTTGTTTCCTAAAATATTTGCCTAAGTATTTGTATATCCTAAATATTTCTAATTATTTTCTAATTTTTTTTTATGTCCAGATATTTTTCAGTGATATTTTAGGAAACAGAAGGGAAATCTGTGTGTATCTCGGGTACTCTGCTTTTCCTTCCACTCAGAACAGACGGGCTCCTTCATTTTTACAGGGAGATGCTCCTTTTGCTGTGTTTTGGATTTTGCCTGTTCTTTTGTCAGGAATATTCAAGAATGTGGGTGAGACTTTCTTGTCTTGAAAATTACCCATGTTTCTGTGTATGGCAAACTCGAAGTAGGGTTGTGTTTTGCTGTCTTAAGGTTTCTTATTATTATTCCGGCATTGTTTTTACTTTGGTTGTTTAAGGAGAGTTTGGTTGGAGGGTTTGGTTTGGTTTCTGCTTTGTTTCCCACTCACGCTGTCAGTCTTGGCACGTTCTCTGCAGCATCCCAGTATTTTTGGGTTGTACAGTCTCTGTAGGACCCAAACACTCTATGTTGAATGTGCTGCAACTTTCTGGTTTAGTAGCTGAGATCTGCCTTATACAGATGATATTTACCTGTGTTTCTCTGTGTTGGGAAATAAGTGTTCTACCTTGTGTCACTCGACTCGGGCCAGTGCTGTCGAGGTCAACTGTAATGTTTGTGTAAATGTTTTACGAACTTGTTGAACTCGGTTAATTTTCAACTTTTTGAGGTTCGTCCTGTGTAATTATCTGAGCATGTTTCACTGCTCGTATTGAGCAATGATAAACTCAAATTTGAATACAGCAACTCGACTGATATTTTATGTGCTTGCATGACCTTAGAGTTTGCCTGATACATAGTCCACTGCTGCTAGCTGAAAGTGAGAGTGAAGAGAAGAAGTGCAGGCTGGTGTCTCTTGTTGTAGTGCTCCAGAGTTGTTTTTCATTAGGAATCTCTCGAGGGGAATAGCTGATGCTTCCATCCTGCTTCAGGTCTGTGCCTAACATAGTCATGGCTGATGCTGATTGTTTCTGCTCATTTGTGAAGGCAGTAACTAGAGCCTGCTGTGCCTTCTACCTGCGGAACTGCTTGCTTCTATTAATGAACTTGTGCTCATATTACTGTTACCCAGTTTTCTCCTTTCTGTTTGTTGTTCACTTTATCCTTCCTGTTGTATTCTGATAGCAGCGAGGATTTGAAGTGAGTGGTTTGAGAGGAACTCTTTTGGAAATATTTTTCCTTCTCAGCAGCTGATCTCTTGTCTACCTCTACTCTCAATTTTTTTCTTCCATTCTTTTTCTGACCCTCTCTGTCCAAACTCCTTTTCTGTTGCCACTTCTGTTACGCTCTGCCAATTTCCCTCTTTTGTCTCTGAATTCTTACTCTCCCTCATCTATTTTTATGCATCTTGTGGACACTGTTTTGCTAGTGCACTTGGTTAAATGATCTCAACCACTCACTGAAGAGACTCAGTGTGCTTTTTCATTTTTAACAATGGTGGAGAAAAATAAAATCCTGTATTTTATTTTTTCATCTTTAGGAGGGTAAAGGTGGGAAGGGAAAAAAGGGGAAAATGAGAGAACAGGAAATGTGAAGTGATGGTGGGTGTCTCAGAAAGGACAGAGAAGTTTCGTGAGGCCGTGTTTCATGGGAGGCTGGGGCTCACACACTAGCAGATCTGGCAAGAAAAGTGAGTGCTAATGATGGCTGTTGCACAGATATTTTCAGATCGCTGGAGACTGTGAAGCTTGCGTAAGTGTCACGTGCCATTTATAATAGGACTCTGGTTTGTTCTCAAGGCAGGTGCTTGCGTTGTATTTGTGATGGTTCAGTAAGCAAAATCCTTACATTGCATGAGAATAACAGCCCTCTTCTGAGCGGCTGGAAGGTAGCACTCACTGATGCGGCTTATGTCCTGTTAGAGCAGCGCAGCTTCTTGGGTTTTCATTACACCTCCTTGCTGTGATGAAGCAAACATGGGCAATGCCATCTGCACCTTAGTACAAACCCATAGCTAAGAAGCAGCCAAACAGCTCAGCACTTTTCGTTAACTCTGTTCAGGACAGGACTTTTAAGTTGTTACAGGTGAGAACTTAAGTTTTTACTAATTTCCACATAAAATGTGAATGCTTTAGAAACTGTTACGGTTGGAGTTGATCTGTTAAGAGAGGGTGGCCAGGGCTGTTGCCCATTTGTGGAATAGTAAAGTCACTTCTTCCTCTTCTGAATGTGCTTCTAAGGCAGAGTGCATCAAGAGCTTGTGCTTCTGCCTGCAGCTTTCTGCATTTACTAGGAACAGGCAGATACAAATAAAGGTCATAGAAGACAGGCAAGGTTCCCTTCTGCAGTGGGCTGCACATTTTGTTTGCCCCAGAGACAGCTGAACTCTTGAGTGAGTTAGAGAGAGACTGGAGGAATGACCCAGTGTGACGTTGCTTACTGAGAATGGGTAAAGGTTAATTTCACTTTGCTGTAACTGGGGACAAAGGTGAAGGAGAGAAATAATAAAAAGTCATACAAGGGCTAAATCTGGGATAAAAGGTAGTGGAGGATAAGTGAGTTCTTTGGGTGTGAGAGAAAGGTGTGTGGAAATAGCGGCTACGTCAGGTTCGTATAGAAAGGAAAGGAGAGAAGTTAGGATTATGGTGGAATAAATGTAGGATAGAGGCTGCAAATAAAGATTTTGAGAGAATGAACGTAGTGCGGCTGAGCAGATTGCTAAAAGACAATCAAGTGTAAGGGCTAGACGTGGGTGAGGGTCTCGGGCAGAGCAGATGAACAGGCATATGAAGTAGAATATTCAGTGCTGTGGGCAGATGGAGGTGTTGCCAAGTGTCTGGAGAATGATAAGGAGCTGTTTGCACCTTCTGTGTGCCGAGTGCTCTGTGTGTATGTCAGTGCAGGAGATACTGCATATGGTGGGGCATCTGGCCACATGCTCTTTTCTGCTGTTAAAATGCGAATAACGAAGATAGCTCTATATTATCCTCCTTTTTACCCGGGTACTTAGTGAACCTTATAATTTCTGTGCCCCTATACGTCCTTTCTTAGCATTTCTTAGGAAAAATATATGTAAAGAGATACATGTGAACAGAGAGGAGGTGTAGTTGTTATATCTTGATATCCAGTACTGCATTGCACAACTCTGGGGCCTTGGCTTATTGAAACTCTTGTTAGAAACTGCTTAAGCAACCTGAATGTTCAGGGCAACTGAAGGTGTGAGAGTGAGGTGGGGTTTTGTTGCATTTGTTTTGTTGTTTGTTTTTTTTTAATTCTGAAAATGAAAACTGTGTCAGGAGAAAATTATGAAAAAAAAAAGGGGGGACAGAAAGGAAACATATGAAAAATACTGAGAGGCAGAGACCAGGTGCACCTTACAGTTCCATCCCTCTTGTGCAGCACAGGCTTTTCTTGGGGACGAGGATGCTGCTGGAAGGATATGCCTTCACTGTGTGTGCTGATCTCTCCCAGCAGCTGTTCTTAGCTTGAGATGAAATTCTCTTTGTTTGTGACTGAATAACACTTGTGTTCTGCCACAGCATCTCATGTGGGTAAATGTTAGGGCAAAGGGGTTCTGCCCTGAGCTCCCCTTTGGTGATGCTTCTGTTCAGATAACATTTTGGGCTTTTTGGAGGCTCTGGGGACTGTAAATGCTGAGCACCTTCAAACCAGAGCAGAGAAAAATTTGTCTTAATAAAGTAAAAACAAGAAATACTGGGAAGCAAACTAACTCTTCTGCATTTGGGAAATGAAGAAATGTTTACTCTGAAAAAACAAATCACTTAGATGCAGTTGTAGCACTAAAAGCAGTAAATACATCTTTTGGAAGAGTGTTGAAAAGCATATAAAGAGCAGAATATATGTGTATAGACTGACATTTTTTTTTTACAGACTTTTTAAGGAGAAGGGTCTTGGTAACTTCCATTTCTACTTTTTTTTCTCTACAGAACCTACTGCAGCTCTATGATTGCTGATCCGTGCTTGACTGCCTCAAGGGGTCCTGGCAAGATGGCATCTTCCAGACTTCCCATCCTTCTAGCATTGGCATTTTCCTCTTTGTCCTTTGTTCTTTCCCATTCAAATAGGGAGATGTGGTTTCAGGATTTCTTTCCACCTAACATGTGTCCTATAAATGCCAAAGCCAACACTTTTTACGGCATAATGTTTGATGCCGGAAGCACTGGAACCCGGATTCACATTTACACCTTTGTGCAGAGGAGCCCAGGTAAGACTCGGTGTCAGTCTGTGCACTTGGAGTATGTTGACTCAGGTTCCAACTTCCCAAAAGTGGTTTTTGTTCCCACCACAGTATTTGTGAGCAACTGAAGATTTCTGCAGTTTGTCCTTCAAAGGCTCCTCTGGCAGATGATTATTAGCCATTCGTGGTGGTGTTTTGCCGTGATTTATTTATTTTTTTATTTTTATTTTTTTAGATCTTTTAAAACTGAGAGGTTTAATTCTGGGTATACTGGAGAGTTCTGAATTTCCAAAGATTTTCATCTATGCAGCTGTTTGAAGGCATGTCTCATTGAATTGGAAAGAGGCTTATGCTGTTTTTGTCAAACTGCATGTTACCTTGAATTATATCAAGAGGCATTAAAATTCTGCCTATGTTTATATGTCACATTTTGTAGCAAATAAAAATCAGTAAATTAAAGAGTTACAAGCACTGAAGATCTGAGCCATTTCCAGGAGTTGTCCTTTGTGCAGATGCACCACAGTCCAGTATATCTGCTTCTGACACGGTGCAGAGGTCCCCAAGTTGGTTACAGGCAACAGGATTCCGGAGGGTGAATTAGCTTGGGTACAGTGAGCCAGCAGATTTGCAAAGGTTGAAGGCTGGTTGGTGGATCTCACATAGTACCTATGTGGCTTCACATGATTCCAGCCTTAGTTTGGAAGGACTGATACAACATCCAGCTCTGATGGACTCGGCCTGACTTGTAATTTGCAATATACTCAGTGATAGCTTCTAGACCCAGCTGCTCTGGGAGCAATGGTCACACTTGTTTGGCTTTTTAGCCAAGTGCTTGAGCCCAGTCAGCTCTGTTCTGTGTTTGTGAGTTGGATGAATCACCTAAGAATCATCAGGAGTTGACTGTATGTGTCTTAATATGAATTAATATTTCACCATTAGCTTGAGCATAGAAAGGGAAAAAAATTATTAAGATTAGGCAACAGTCACACTACATTACTGTAACTCATTGTAGTTCACAAATGCAAAATGAACATACTTCTAATTATAACAATGTGTTCTTAATAAATTGTTTGTGAACTTGGAGGGTACAAGGGCAACATTCTGTTAAATATGTACCTGAAGAGAGGGAGCAGTGCTTGTTTGGGAAGGGAATTGTATTGTTTGCAAGGGGAAATCAAGGATAGTCACCTTACGGAGGTTGCAGGCAACCTTTTTGAAACTAAAGAAAAATATTTGAGTTGTTGACTGTTTCATGTAATGTTTTGTTTGTGCAGAAAAACTTCCAGAGCTGGAAGGGGAAATCTTTGAGTCTGTGAAGCCAGGTCTTTCTGCATATGCTGATCAGCCTGAAAAGGTAAGACTCTCTGTCATTCCCTGTCAGTTTATCTTGCTTCTGCTAGTGTCAGTTGGACTCTACCAAGCAGTTTAAGTGTTACTAATTGTAATTGCAAAGAGTCAAGAAAAAATGTAAAGGTTCTACTGCTGTCTCTCTAAACTTGTTGCTCTACTTTTGTGAGTTAACTTATACACAGTGAAATGAGACCTATTGTTTTACATATTTCATCAGTGGAACAATGGCTTAATTAATTGCTTAAATGCTATGTATAACTAGACTATATGCCTTTGAGAATTTCAAAGACAAGGTAATCTTTGGCTCTAGCAGCATCCATATTCAGTGTTTATTTCCCCTATGTGAGTAAATATATATTCCTGTCTCAGTTACTAATAATTTTCTCAGTTTTTCCTTTTGGTTGAAATTTTCAGTGCTGATCACAGTTCCAAATAGGCATGTTTTGTTTTGATTTGTTTCGTTTAGAAGTAAGGGATTAAAACTGGGGGCGGGGGGTTCTTTTTTAGTCATGTTACACTGACAAGCAAAGAGGGTTTATTTCTCTGATTCCTAAAAATGTTTAATTTTTTTTGTGTGTATAGTCAGATCTACAAAAGTTAATTTTTGTTGGTAAGTTATGGAGAAGGAGAAGAATAAAGATGCATTTAGCAGGTTAAGTTAGGCCTTAATATTTCTATAAGTGTATTCTCTGCTTTTGTCATCAGACTTCCAATAATTTGTTTGTTTTGGGTCTTTGCTGTTATCTTTGGAACCATGGCTTGGAAGCCAGTGCTCAGGGATACACAGGACTCCCTTCAGTCATGCTCAGTTCAAATATTTGATTACAGTTTTAGCTGAATAATGATTTAGGTACAGGCAGTTACTCTTCTAATGCCTGTGGACTTCTGTTTGTATACAGAGTTTTTCAAAACACAGTTGGACAGTTCTGTCTTCCACAATCAGCTGTATTCATTCACATATAAATTTATAATTTTAATAAGAAATCGAAGTTAGGTGCAATCCTCTTTATTTCCAAATGAGGGTGGTTGGGAATTAATGCACGTGCCACTCGATTGGATCAGGAGTCATAAGTGAGCAAGAGAGCAGAGAGAACTAAAATAATCCTGTTGCTGTGATACACAGGGCCAGTCCTGAAGTAAGCTGTCATTTTCCAGATCCCCTGTGCTGACAGTAAGCTCTTTCACAAGCTAAAGGAGGTGCCAGAGAAAAGCTAGATTAGATACTCTGCCTTCTGTGCTTTAGCAGTCTTGGAGTTGGGGGCTACTATAGGGGGAGTTTCAGGTTTCTCAGTTTGCTCAGTTGCATTCAGTGCTACAGGAACTGGAGTGAGAAACTTTCTGGAAAAGTGTCTGGCTTTTGGATTTTTTTAAACATTGATGAGCTCTCCTATTATTTAACTAAATTGTCTTGTTTGTTGGGTAGGAGAGGAGAATAATTCACCCCAAAAGAAATTTCTAGACATTTCAAAGGAGAAAGTTTATTGCTAATGCCAAACTGTAATTGTTAGAGCAGTGTAAATGAGAGCCCAGCAGTGGTGCCTGTACCTCATGTGGTAACCATTCTACAGCTGGCATTTTAATTATACTACTTGCTATGGACATATTTGCAATTCTTATACTGCATTTAGTGAAATCTACAGACATTCTTCCTGACCTTTGCAGCTTCAGTCAGTAGTTGTACCGTTTAGTTTCATCATACTGCAAGATAGATATCTAAGTTTGTCAGATACTCGGTTCCCTCACTTCCCTCCAACCTCTCCAATAATACTTTCCACAAATAATGGCATTTATCTCGCCTAAGATATACCTCTGAATACGTTTTTCTTTCCAATGCAGACATTCTCTATAGGGTTCTTACGAGATGCCTAGCACCCTTATCTTGGGTGGGGGTGAGGTATGTTCTGCTATTGAATACTGGTTTCACTGATGTTGAGGGGGAATTGGGAGGCCTATTTTTTGGTGGCCTGTAGGAGGAAGCCATAAGAAAAACAACATCTTTTCCCTTTTAGGGTGCTGAAACTGTCAAAAGGTTGCTGGACATGGCCATAGATGCTGTGCCACCTCAGCTCTGGAAGAAGACCCCAGTAGTGTTAAAAGCCACAGCTGGACTGCGCTTGCTGTCAGAGGAGAAAGCACAGGCTCTGCTTTTGGAGGTAACACTAAGATCTTTCGGATGCACTAGTATTGCTCTCCCTGTTTTGTCCTTCATGACTCAGTTCTCCATTCTATTTAGCATAAGAGGATTTAATCTGTGAGAAGTGACTGTAATGCCATAATAGTATGAAACTCAGACTTTACAGACTTTCTTGTATGGTCTTGAAATCCTCTGTCCTGATGTGGATAGAAGGCCTGGGGAGACAGACCTTCAATACTTGTTTCTTTCTTTCCTGTCCCTTGAAAGAAGAATTTTGTCTACTCCACACACGTTTTATTTTATACTGCTGTGTAAAAGAAAACGTTTTCTGCCACCATCATAGCAGAACAAGACTCTTAAGACCAAGGAATCTAATCATGCTTTCTTTCTTTCTTTAGGTGAGAGAAGTCTTTGAGGAATCACCATTTCTTGTTCCAGAGGACAGTGTTAGCATCATGGATGGGTCTTATGAAGGTACGTTTTAGAGGGAGGAGAAGGTGAAAGCAAAGAGGAGTAGGGGAAAGAGAGAGAGATACCTTATGGACATGAGAAGGAAAGATAAATGGTCACTACATGGAAGGAAAAAAGTAAAAGTTTCTAGCCCTGTTTGAAACAATTCAATTCTGCTTTTCCTAGGAGATGTTGATTGCTTGGTCATCTGTTAGGCTACAAGTGCAGATACAGAGAGTTTTGTGAGTTAGATAAATAAAGGTTCATCCAAAACCTTCTGAGGTTGCAGAAGAGAACCTCATCTCAGAAATAAGTATGCAGGCTAATGCAGGCTAACCAGCTGAAACCTGCTTTCAGGAACTGGTGGAAAAAAGATGGTGTCCACCTCTGAAAGGCTACAGGATAATATATAGTAAGCTAGGAAGCTTATGGAAAGTGCCTAGTAAATTCTGCAATATCAGCATTTAAAATAATCTGTTATGATTGCTCATCAGTTTTTGGGTTAAGCTTGGAAGCAGTGTGAATATTAGGGGAGAATGAAGGATAATTGTCAAGTCTTAAAAAATTAGATAAAATTCATAATAACTTAATAAATTAAAAATATTATTTTTGGAAAAATGCAGTTAGTAAAGTAGCAAAGGAAGTAACCTAAAATACAATAAAAGGTGAAGTAAGTTGTAGGTCTGGAATGAGTGATTTTGCATTGCAGAACCGACCACTGTGACATTTTGGCTACATATGCAGACATATTACCTTGGAGAATATGTAGTTAATAATCCTTCTGTATGCATGCCTGATGAGAACCATCTGTGATGTTGCATTCAGTTCTGATCACTTCATTATGGCAGATATATTGTCATTTTGGAAGGTGTTCAAGGAAAGCAAAAAGAGTTATCATGATGCTTAAACAACTAATAAATGGAGGAAGATAGAGAGCAAAATCTCCATACAGGTCCAAGAGAAAATGACAAGTAACAGAGTCTGCAAGTACTCAGTGAAGTATGATGCAATGCATAGTATGTCACTAGGATTAACAGATGAATTGTATAGTAGGGAGGAGTGTTATATTGACAGGGAGCAGGACCAATGAGGCACAATAGAGCACAGTGGAGGCTGCCAAGGTTTATTTAAAAATCCCACATCTACTGTCACATGTTTGCCTGTGTGTGGGTGAGAATCATGCCAGTATCAAGCAAGCCGCTGGAGTCAGAGTTGTTTGTGTTTTACTGGTTGCCACAATGTCTGTAATTACAGAAACCACCACATTAAAACACAGAGTGGTCTGTATGCAGTTTTCAGATTAGGAATTGAAACGCTGAGGGGAAGAAAGTGCCCAAGGAAACTTGTGCATGGTGTCAGCTCATTACTTTTTTGGATACTGTTTGGATAATAGACATTATTTGTGCATGCTGCAGTTGCATGGATATTACAAATGTTCTCCCTGTCCCAGGGTGTGAGATTTTAGTGAGTCGATAATGCATCTTGTCTCTTAATTGTGAATTTGAATTAATCTCTGGAATATGGTGCAGTTATGTTAAATTAGTAATGATTTCCAGGTAAATAAATAACATATGGAGGGGTAGTAAGGGTGGGCAGGAATTTGTGGGAGTATTCAGTGATGACTTTTTTTCTTTTTCATTCTTTGCAGGAATTTTAGCCTGGATCACTGTGAACTTTTTGACAGGTAGTTAATTCTGTATAACTTCTGTCTAACTGTGAACTTGGGTCTCTTGTGTGGAGGTGATCACCCTAAGTTCCTTTGCCTTGGTTGCCATGTCCTGCTTTTTCTCCCCACTGTGGCACCAGTGCTAAAATAGTGGATTGTCCTGGGCAGACAGTGTTCCAGGGGGAGAGCCACACTTGGGGTAAAAGGAGTCATCTTCATACAGAAGGTGCTGGGGTTTACTCAGGACCAGGAGGCACTGGCAAGCTGGTTTCTCTAATCTACGTAGAGGAGTGGTGCTGCTAATCTGTTAGAAGGTGGGAATCGAGGTTTTACAATGTTTGTCATCCCAGTGTGAACTGTGCAGCTAAAATGGTGTAACAGGGAATGCACTGGTGCTTTAGCCCTCCTGGCTCTAAGAAGTTCTGGGAATGCAATCTAGTGAAAAGAAAATCAGTACTCTAGTACATGAGCAAGTAAAAAAGCTGCTCTGGGTGAAAAGAAATTATAATAGCTGGTTCTTCTCTTACTATCCTTCCTCTGCTACTGCTTTTGACCCACTGTACAGTGGTTACAGAACTCATGTAGTCTCCCCGACAGTCTTCTGCAGGAGATCCTTTGGCTCTTACTTTCAGCATTTGCTGGATATCTAGAGATACATCTGCTTTTGTCTCTTTGGAAGTGAAATTGGAATCAAGGAAGAAAGTCCTGTGGATCTGTGTAATACTGTCTGTTTGCCTACCTTTTCTCTGGGATGTTTTCTGTCTTTGAAGGCCAGCTCAGCCCTCCTGTATTGCTGTGATAATGTGATACCTTGTTTGTTGCTTGAATATACACACAGTATCCACATTTTAGCATTTGTACACTCGGGGCTGTTCTGAGCATGATGTTGTTCGCAGGGCAGCTGTCTGGCCAGAACCCTCATACTGTTGGGACTCTGGACTTGGGAGGAGCATCAACCCAAATCACATTCCTGCCACGCTTTGAGGTGAGGAGTGGTTACAAGTGTGCGGGTTGGGACTGCAAGGCCAGTGGAGAGACCTGAGCATGGCTGTGCTCTGTGATATCACTTTGTCAGCACTGGCACAAGTAGAACATCTGTGGTGTACAGAAGATCTGTATTTCTGTTTCCTTTGACATCGACAGCTGACTGCTAGGCAATTGCAAACAAAAGGGCCTGGATAACAACGGAGGAAAAAGAAAGCAAGCAAATGGGTAAAACCAAAGAGAAACAGCTTTTGTTTTCTAGACCCAGGCTGGGAAAGCCCCATTAATGCCCATAATTATTTTGTATTCAAGAAATGTAGAATGTTTCCAGGGAGCAGTCTTTCATATTACAGAGATTTAGGGTCTGCTCTTGAGTTCTTTTTTTTTTTATTTTTTTTTTTTCCCCATTGCAGTCTGATAGCAGATTCTTACTAAATTTGGGGAGTGGTGGGAGAGGCGGGGTGGAGGGGGGTGTCTCATGGGGCAAACGTCTTTATAATAGCACAGCCAATCCCTCTTTGGTTTTTTTTATCAGTCTTCTTGTTTTGTTTGAGAATTCCCCTCTCTGCCTCTCAGTCAATCTCTGCTGGATTTGTCAGGAATTCTATAGCTTTTTAGACATAGTTTGAACTGGGACCCAAGCCTAGTGTTTGCATGGGAAAACTGCACGGGTATTGGAAGGGCATTCTGTACCTTGACACTGTGAAGTTGGTTTTGTCACCCTTTCTGAAGGAGTTCTTTGTTTAACAGCTTTTGTTTACAGAAATTGAGATTCTGAAAGGGTGTTTGGAGACCATGAAACACATGGTTTTTATATCAGGATATTTTAATTCTGAAGTGGTGGGTCATGTTGAAACATGATGTGCAACCTTATCCTGTTCAGCAAAGCCTGGAGCTTGCCCTCTGGTTTGTGTTGATAACACCTGCTGAAGTGGGCACTGGACCAACAGGAAAGGGTGTTGCATGTCAGGGTTTTGGAGAATAAATAGAGCTGTGAAGTAGTCTGAACTGCAGCTTGGGATTCAAACTTCTCCTTAGAGCCTTGCAGGAAGGCGGTCTGGTCTCAAGGGTTTGCTGCTGATCAGGACCAATGGTACGAATTAGTAGGACAGTGTGGAATCAACTTTCACGTTGCCTGCTTGTATGCTGTGTCTGCTCCTCACCTGTATTGTCAGGTTCACATGACAAAGTGCACACATACATAGCTCAGTATGTTTCTGAAGAGTTTTTCCCACCTGACAGAATTAGCAGGGATTTCACCCTTTGGTTTGCAGAGGGCTTTTTTTCCCCCCTTCCTGCAATCTGAGGCAATCACATGTTTGCTCTTGTGTTAAGTTTGAACAAAATAGTGTAATAGTAAAAGATTCATTAATGAAATATAGATTTCAAGGAAATAGAAGACATATAATAGTAGCTGCATGGAGCTGTTTTTAAGGTAGTGTTATGCTTTTCATGGTATTATTGTTAAAGTTATAAACAACTAAAACCCAATCATAATAATTACTACATTGTCTGTCTGGTGCCTGCCTCATTTCGGAGTGTGAGGATTTCTACATTTTTGTGAAAGTAAGACATGAAAAAAGATGGTTGTTTTCCTGTGATGTAATGGTTTTTTGTGATTTTAAATAATTTTTTTTGTGATGTAATGTTTAGGAACAGAACTGAAAATACGGCAGGGTCTAGGTCCATTGGGTCAAGGATGTGACTGCCATTCCAGTGAAAATCTATCCAAGGCCCAAAGCAAATTGTGATTTGTATTTGCCCAGGAGAAACTCAAGCTGAATGCTACCAAACCACTTTCAGCTTCAAGCAGGCTTCTGTCTAGGACTCCACAATTCCACATCTGTTCGGTGGGATTTTTTTGCTGTATCTGGTTACTTGAATGGTAACTACAGGGACTCTGCAGCTTCAGTCCTCTCTGAGGTTCTGTTGCTTTGTCCAGAGTAACAGAGAGTGTCTGATATGAATGCACAGAGCTAAGAATGGAGAGGAGAATGAGGTCACTAGCAGAGGAAAGACAGAAACTGGGATTGAGACCTCGGGAACTGCAAACAAAGCAACAGTAAATGAGCCCTAAACTCCTTCAGATTTATAAGAATATGGGAGTTAGTCTGGCAAGAAGTCAGGGACTGAGTACCAGTGGGGTGGAGGTGCACACAGGACAAAGACCACGGAAGGAAGAAAACTGGAGGTGGTGAGACAAGCACTTAAACCAGGAGGTAAAGCAGCTCTAAGACTGCGAGTGAGTGGTCACAGTGTTTCCTTGAGTATCAACACGACATTTAACATGGTGAAAATGTGGCCTATACCTCACTTAGCATTTTTAATTCTTCTGAGTTCCTGAACTGAGCTGTCTGGTCTGATTTGCAAAAGTTCTTAGTGCTTCTAGTGCAGCTGATTTTGGTGGGGACTCTGTATATACAGACTAGCATGTAAATACTCTGAAAAATTAAGGTATCCTGAATTAGAAAGTATTTTCATCCTGATCTGTTGCACTTCCTTATTGCACAGTATACACAAAGATGCATATAAAGAACTCAGTGTTAAAAGCTGCAGAAATTACTGCAGTAGGCACCATTGGAAAACTGTTGTTTGTTTTCAAAGCAGGTCAGATGAGTGTGCAGTAAACCCTATGGCTATATATGTGATATTACATCAAAGTTGGCTATTTTTTGTTGCATAATAGAATCTAAAAGATTTCTTCTTTTACTTAACTTTTAGGAAACTTTGAAGGAAACCCCTGGGGATTTTCTTACCTCATTTGAAATGTTTAATAGCACCTACAAGCTCTATACCCACAGGTGAGGAGCAAAAAGGCTGCTGTCTCCACTGGGGAAATCAGTCTTTGTGCAGCCCCTGAGCTAACCACGAATGGCCATGTCATCCCGTTAACCAGCTGTGGGGACCATGACTTTTTTTACTGGTTTTCTTATCTTCTTGAAACATTAGTTGAAGTGGAACATGACATTAGTTGACCGGAAACGTTCCAGGATCATGGTTAGTATCACTGCAAGGGAATATTAGTCAGTCTGTCAAATGAAGAGGAAGCATTATGAGTCACTGTATTTAAGGAGAAGAGTTTTTATTACTAAATTCAAGCCAAATATTCTGTACCAAGCAGAAAGGTGGATAATGTGCCAGTAGTCAGAACTAAACCTGGTCAGAGATTTGTAAAGAGGACCTTCCTGAGACTCTTTCCTTCTTAGTTCTTAGTTTGAAATGGCACATCTCATCAGCAACTGGACAAAAATTAAAACCTAGACTGATGGAAACCAAAGAGAGACAACCACAGGCAGCTGATACAGACCGTGGCGTACAACAGCTTCTTGAAACAATTGGAGGGGATACTTGGCCTGGAATAATATAATTGTACTTAGTCAAACTTAGCATTAAGCTAACAAGTTTCTGAGGTGTTTGCAGTGAAATTCAGAGAGTTTAACTTCATGACTTCCAGTGCAGTGGGAACTCAACCATAGAGAGTTGTTAGCCCGTTACTCGTGGGGTGGGTGAAGACTGTAATTTCAGTCAGTTACAGGGTATGCTTACTTGACAGCAAAGCTGGTTTAATAGTCCTCCTCTCCTACTGCTTACATTTACTGATGTAACTGATTGCTGTATGCACCAATCCAGTCCATTAGATACTTAAAATAATTGGGATTGAAAATCATCTCCTAAAATGTGAGGGAGCTGGAGGTTAGTTTAACTCTGATAATTCTGTAACTGTTTGAGGGATAAGTAGCCAAACAGAGATGGGAGTGAAAGACCAACAGGTTTTTAATCTAGCTGTGTTGCTGAAGCCAGCAACATATAATGACATTCTCATAAATGTTGTTCCCATCCTAGCTTGTAATGAGTGTAGTGTTGGAATTTCACACAAAGGCACCGCTCCCATTTAGTGGGAGGCTCTACAGTTTCCTATTAGTTCTGCCCTCAGAGCGCATAGCCTTCGTGTGTGACATAAGAACAGCCATCCTGTTCCCATGCACTCCTCATGTACCCTTCTTTCTCCCTCGTTTTTAAGATTGTGCATTTTTGCTTTTCATGAGTATCTGGTAGAAATGTCACATCAGCTCTAACCACTTTCTGCAGTTTTAGATTTACCCATTTTACAGCTCTTTGTAATTCTTCATTTTGTGTCGCTCTTTTGGTACTTGGAATTGTTCTGGCAAAGGGAGCTCTGTTTTAGGGAGAGGAGACTTGTGGGAAGCAGAGGAAGGAAATTTGGTTTGGGTGTTACAGGATTTAGGAAGAGGCTATGAGTGAAGCATACCAGATGTGCAAGAATTAAAACCATAATGTCTGTCTTTGTTGTTTGCAGCTATTTGGGGTTTGGACTGAAGGCTGCCAGACTAGCAACGCTTGGAGCTTTGAATATGGAAGGTATGTTCATATGTAAAACATACAAGCTTTTTGAAGAGATGGTTAGACTTAGTTCTATGTCAGCAGCCCATTTCCCATGTCATCACATCTTGTGCTTTTTACTATGTTTTCACTGGTACAGATCTGTCTGGAAACAGGCTACCACTTGATAAGGAGTTGTCTTGCGAGATCGCTGTTTTTCCCTATTTCCGGGTTCAGGCAGCAGTGGGACTGCAAATTCTGGAAATGCACGCATGGGAACACCATGTAGACATGGCCAGCCACAAACACACAGCTTTACAAACATCCACAGAAACACAAGTAGCATGAATAGATCCTTTTCCTAAGGACTGCTGCTTAGGCCAAACCCACTTTATGGGTCTCTCTGGTATCTGCCTGGCCTGCTGTGTTCCCCAGGACCTCCTGTAGTCTTCACTGACTAGTCTAGCTTGACATCCACTCACTCTCACTCACTAACCTGAATGCATACTCACATTCCTGAGTCTTTCCAGTCTCTGACTCAGACCTTAAGTCCTTCCAGTCTTCATGCCCAGACCTTGGGCCTTTTGTCCAGCCTCTGGCCAGGACCTGGGGTCTCTCCATCTTCTGGATTCTTACTTGCCAGCTAGAGGGACTTGTGTTAATTACTGGAATGTACTCAAATCAAAAATAGTTGGGAATAGGGTTTAAGAAGATTGGACAGACTGCAGTGATTGGTCACAAGGCTCAGCCAGAAAAGCATACTGACCAGCTGCCTGCTTAGTTGTGATTGCCTTCTTTTATCATCCCCTCCATTTTTCTACACTTGCACTTCCCTGAGCCCTTAAT